GCGCTCCAACACATTGTACGTGATAGGCTAAGGGGCGGGACATCTCTAGGAGGTTGACCAATCACAACAGAGCCCGTCCAGCTAACCAATCAGAGCAGACTGGGCTCTGGTTTCAGACAGAGGGTGAAAAGAGGTGCTGCAGCACAGGCAGTATGAGAAAAATAAAGAGCTTTTTGCACATTAAAGCATGGAGACATGTCCCAGTAGAGACACTACATACTGATATACACCTGAAAATGAGCATGATAGGGCCCCTTTAAATAACCATACACATTTGCTATGGACATAAATTCAGATTGAAACACTGAATTGTTTGTGTTCATAAATCCTCCACTGAAGCTGCACTACACGAGACAAAAAATAAAACATGGGAGACAAGCAAGCACAACATTCACCCTTAACAAATGCTTTTAAATAACTTCCTTTTCTAAAAGCAATGACCATTAACCGAGAGAAGAAACAAACAAACCTAAAACAACAAAGCAGCAGACTTTTAGCCTGCTATAAACCACAAAAAACGTCATGGTAGAAATGACAGTTGGCAGCCATATAAAAAGATAAAGTGGGATCAATAACACATCAGAGGGTCCTGTCATGTGGACAGAGCGTGAGGATCCAAGCTGCTGGAATTTCTGACACAACTGACGAGCTAAATGATGGCTCTGCTGCTGCGATGCATCTCACGAGCCAAACCAAACCTCATTTCCAGCTCGGCTTTACTCTTCTCTTATTCTGTGTTGCTCAAACAGACGCAGTATTAAACTGCAGGGGGTTGGGGGTTGGATTCCCACTGATGACCACACGATCAAAAATGCCTTGTGGGTATTCTGGTATTACTTCTAAGGGTTGAAAACATCTGCCAAATAGGTTATATAATGACAATACAGGTTTTGTTTCTGGGTCTTGTGCTGTGTCTCAATTTGGATATTTCCCATTAGTACACTCCCATGTCGCACACTGTAAACAATTGTGCAATGAGTGAATTTAAACCAGGTCTCACATTGCACAAGGATGCTGTACCCTTACCAGAAGTGACAATCACTGCTGCTAGCTTGCTATCTAGCTAGCAGCAGTTGTTTGCGGTACAACATCATTACAGACTGCTCGATTGACCCTATCAAATTAACAGTGGCTACTTCTCGACACCAGTAAAGTAGCACATTACTTAAAAGGTCACCTATTATGCAAAATCCACTTTTTCATGTCTCTTCTACATCACCATGTGTCCCCTCTGTGTAAAGAGATTCTGAAAGTTTCAGGAAAAAAGATTCTCTCTCTTTTTGTCCTGATCCATTTATATAAAAACCTGTCTGAAAATGAGCTGATCAGATTTTGGCCACTTTATGATGTCATAACGATGTTTTGTCTTGTGTAACCATTAGCCAATCACCAACCAAGGTAAACACCCCCCACCTTATCACCTGAATCTCCTCCTAGAGCACCATGGTGTTCTTTTTAACCAAATATCTCTCGAGGGGCGTGGGGAGGGGCTCCTTATTTTCATCTAAAGTAACAGACAGAGAATCAGCACTTTTGAAACAGGGCTGAAACAGAGGGGATTATGGGTAATGCTGCAATGATCTGTTTGGTGTTTGGAGACAAACACTTCAGAGACATGTTTTGTATATATCTGAGACCTATAATATATTGATGAAAAACAGTATAATAGGGGACCTTTAAATGGTGAAAAAACAAAAGGTTAAACTTGTATCTGTTTGGAGCTGCGTTAACTTTAGCAACTGCAATCACGGCTAGTTGCGTAGCTAATGTTACGAATCAAAGATGGTGATCGCTGAGTGTAAGAAGTGTCCAGCATTTCACACTCAACTTTTTAAAGAGTGCATCATCCAGCATACTCATCATTTATTTTCCATAATACGCAATTAGGACACACTTAAGCACTCAAAACAGCAAATATAAGTAGAGAAGTACGTAATTGAGACACAGCATTGGTCTCATTTTCATAGCTCTGAAAAGCAGTCCAATCGGCTACAATGACATTTTACTCACTAAACGTAATTGAAGTGATGTGCAGTTTTACAACAGAGTACAACAGGGCAGGAAAACACAAGCAGTCAGATGATCAGAAGTGGTAAACAAACCCCCTTTTTGATCATGTTATCTGAACCTTTGTACAGGAGTTACACTGAAAGAGAGTGCACCCAAAATGTCAATAGCAGAGAGAAACTGTGTTTACACTACTTCAGTAAGTACTGTGAGTCATACTGCAAAAGGTAATTGGTGTTTAAAAAGGACAATTTAGGAAATCATTTTAACTACGTCCGCAAAGGAGGTCTGCAGGATGATGGAAAATCCAATGGCCCATTTTTTATGAAACTAGCTGGAAAGGTGTTTCTTTGGCCATGGCAGAACGCAATCAATTTTGGAGCAGATCAAAATTAGGGGTGGATAAACAAATTACGTTTCAATTTCGTCAACATTGCGAGATTTACTCATTTGATTTCATTCAACTATAAAACACATTTGGGAACTTGTTCTCCAAATCCTTGTTAGTCTTGCTCACACAGCAAACAAAGGAACCAAACCGCAACATATTTTCTTTGTCTTTAAAAACCCTTAAAACTGCTCTGAATTATTATTTTTTGGCAAAATCGTTTCCACTCATAGACTTAAACCTTTGTACGTCTTTTATACATGAATATGTGTCCCCGGTGTGTCAGGGAACTCACCAAGTGTCAGAAAACACAACCCTCTCTCTTTTCCTCCATACCCAAAATCTCTAAAAACGGGGCTGCAACGGATCTGATAAAAACTGATACAGATTTGAATTATTTTCTACGTCACAAAAGTGGTGCTCCGCCTATATGGCCAACTCTCCACCTATCAGGGGAATGAGAGGTTGCCGTGGCATGGTAACAGCATGGTAACACGACGCTCGTAACTCGGCCCCCTCCTTTGCAGGGGGGCGTGGTCAGCTGCAGCGCATGCAAAGACAGGGTGGAGGAGATCAAAATAGAGCGAAATGAGGCATGGCTAAAATGCATGATCTGTTTGGTATTTTGAAAAAGAAAATGTATAAATATACCTTATATAGGTATGGCCCTACAATATATTATTCAAATATAGCTTGATAGGTCTCCTTTAAAGGCCATGAACACAACAAAGTCAAAAGGACATCTTCACAACTCTAGAAAAGGCTCCATCTTATGAGCATGCCAGTGCCCTTCTAGTTTCTCTTTGAAATTAAAGGTTGGTTTAGTACTCACTTATGCTGCTTCCCCCTACAAGACGCCCATCTAAAAATAACCACAGATCTAAGGTAGCTGACATTTAGTTTGTGTGAGAACAATGTTACTATGACCTAAAAGAGGAATAGACCTTATTAAACCAAACCAACTATTAAAACCAAAACCCAGATTGTAAAAAAATAAAAATAAAGTGACTAAACTTTTCCCTGATACTCCCATTTTTAAGAGGAAACTAAGTGTGTACACGCACACACACACACACACACACACACACACACACACACACACACACAACAGCACACACACACACATACACACACACACACACACACAACACACCACAACACACACCACACACACACACACACACACACCACACACACACACACACACACACACACCACCACACACACACTACACTACACACACAACACAGCACACCCACACACACCCACCACACACACACCACCACAGTCACGACACCACACAACGACACCACACACACACACACACACACACACACACACACACACAACACACACACACACACACACACACACACACACACACACACACACACACACACACACACACACCACACACACACACACACACACACACACACACACACACACACACACACCACAACACACACACACACACCACACACACACAACACACACAACCACACACACACCAACACACACACCATCTGATCAGTATTTCCTCAATACTCAAGGCATCATGAAAGCCAGAAAACCAACATCAGCTCTTTACTCATAACTCAATGAATAGCTATAAATAGTGTCGACCCTTTGTGTAGCCATGGATTTTAAATGACAGTATTTGAAAGCATCACAAGCTCTCTTCCTACAACCTGCACAACAGACAAAACCTTACACTAAAGGACATGAAAAAAGTACGACTGATGTAAGAATAGTGCCTTCTGTTCCCCTCACACTACAGTAGCTGCACTGCAGAGCTGATGTGCAGATAAACAGAGTGGCACTTCAAAGATGTTAACTAACAGAAACGGAAGAAAATCTGTTTCCGTACGAGCCACACCTCAGGGGTTATTTTAGGGGCTTGGAGTTTGTTATTTCCTGCAAGTGCTCTCAATACATTCTCACTATTTGAAAACACATAAACCTCTATAAATCAATTGGTGCATATTTCATTTCTTGTGCCGGCTCATTTCTGACACGCTTGCCCTGATTAATTCAGTGTAACTACTTTAAGATTTTGGACTGCAAGCTGATTAATTGTTCAAACATTAATAATTCTTAGGATTCAGATTAAGAAATGCTTTATGCTTTGTATGTCATGGGGCTGTGACTCAGGGGGGGTAACAGGGTGTCTACCAATCAGAGGGTCTGTGGTTTTATCCCAAGGCCCTGACACACAACATGTTGAAGTGTCCTTGGGTAGGATAATAAAAAGGGTCTTATTATGATAATTTTCATTTAGGATTTTAGCGTTTGCAGACCATTTACATGCACACACACCTATATTACACATTATAGGAAAGGGAAACCACAAAGAGCCTTATAGGGCCCCTTTAACGTCACAAATTGCTCCCATAGGGATGTCTACGGTATTTAAGTGTATGCAAGTCACTTTGGACAAAGCGTCAGTTATATGCCCTGTAACTGCCATATTAGTAAACTAAGGATTAGTGATAAATAAAATTGGTAATTTCAAAAATATCAACGTATCGCCAAAACTTACTGTGACTGATGGCCCAGAAAACCCTTCTGTTAGATGCATGATCTGAATGATAATAAAGGATACACTTTGATGGCTCCTGACTTTGTCCCGATGGCCATAAGTTCCAGTTTGGGGTCAAAGGCCAAAGCACTGGGCTGGTGAGGAAACCCATGCTCCACAGTCTACAAGAGCAAGAGTGGGAAAAACAAACAGACGTTAACAGAGATGACACAAGACAATAAAAATGCTCAGATTTATTTAACACCCTGTCTGAGTGCATGCTGTCTGTCTGTAGAGTCGGTGAGGCGTCTGAAAGGGAGGACTCCCGTAATAAAGTTAGAGGGAAGCGCTGAGGGCGACAGCATTTTATTTTATACTTTGTTTCAGACTTTGTAAAATGGGATTAACATAAATTCACAGTTTTTCCTTTGGCCTGTGTCAGGAGACGGCGAGACAGCTGGGAAATCATTCAGATCATCAGAGGAAGAGCAGCAGCACTTTGTAGACGCCAGAGATACCCTAACACACTTTAAAAGAGGTCGAGGGGGTCTTTAAAGTTTTGTAGCCGAGGGTCCCTGAGTCCGAGAAATATGGAAATTAGGTATTTAGCTTGGAACTCAGAGATGAGGTAAAACATTAACTCTTTGTTTCTTTAGAGTGCCGGTCTGACTACACACACACACACACACATCAAAGTAACACTCCTGTTGAGAGACCACCACTGATAGTGGTGGCAGCTGGTGCCAAACCTCTAACAAGTGTGTGTGTGTGTGTGTGTGTGTGTGTTGTCACAGCGCAACAAACAGTTCAAGGACTTGACACACAATGCACAATTCCACCGAGTCAACTTCCATATACTCTGTTTAAAACAAAACTGTAAAACTCTGTCAAATGTATAATGGGCACTGACATTCCAACAAATATTGGAAATGAGTGAGTGAGACACACTTTGTGAGTGAGGCACACTTTGCAAACACAAAGACCAATTTCAACCTTAACAAATGGAAAAAGGACAGAATGGATGTTGTGGTGTTATTCCTAATGTGTCCAGTTCTAATGCTGATATTAAAAACTGATATGCACATTGATTTGTTATTTTAGATATATTGCCTTTTATTTTACTTTAATTTGGAATAGATTAAAGTAAATAGTCTTCAAATTGGATCGATATGACGATATCTTCTGTAAGCGTTGGACTAATAAACAGAGACAGCCTCTTGTTGAAACAAGGCGTGAAGTAATGTCTTTCAGATAACTTGTTTTTTTATATACTTTGAGTACATTTCAGAGTCCTTTTACCTGAGCAAGAACGTGTGTTTGTCACCTTTGCTTGTTGCATTGTTGTGTATAAGTGTAGACCCTGTGTTAACATGCACACCATCATGAACAAAAACATGACCGCCTGCAGCTCAGATTTAATATGCACAACCATCAACACAATCCATTGACTGTAACCTACATTTAAGCTCACACCAGTTTAGCAACAGTGATAAAGTTGAATGCATTTTGCTCACAGAAAGGTGAACTGATGAATACTTGCGAGTGAGGAAGAAGTAAAGCCTGCTAATTTAAACTCAAGCTTCAGGAAGCTGAAGTTTACTGTACACAAGCTGGTTTATATCCATATGGATGTGATGTCAGGGAGGGGAGTATTCAATCTGACACACATGGTTTCACCCACAGACCCTAACACACTGAAACAAGAAGAGCTCTCAGCACCAGGAAGATACACTCCTGTAAGCTTTAACATGCAGAAACCATCAGCACACTGACAGCCATGTTCAATACCTGAATATTGATATTGATATACAAACATGTCTCACACACACAACTCAAACTGCTGCAACACAACTAAAGTCTTGTTAATGTGAAGCCTGATGATCCCTGTCAGCAGGGGCGTCACTTTGGGTTGAGAAATAGTGGGGTGTCAGAAGATTTTCAACAAATACAATTTATACGCAATGCAATGAATGGATCAGTTTGAGATTAGAGTCAATAATTATCAAGAAAAGGAAGAAAACTAGTCATGATTTCTTGAAGATACTGATCAGTGCATGCATGTTTTTGATCATTGTTTAATAGGCTTAGGCTAGATGCAAATGACAATGCACAGTGGTGTATTCTATACACTGCCTTTCATGTGTTCTTATGGTGCAAATAACCTTTATAGAAGCTTAATCTCTTGGTGCAAGCCATTTATCGAAACAGATTTAACAAATCGTGCTTTGAAATAGCAATAGGGACAAAAACAGCCATTTCAAAAAGTGGTGGAGACATGTCTTCACTATAAATGACACCTATGGCTGTCAGTGTGTGTGGTTGTTAATTACAGTCATGCTAGGGTCTGCAGAGATAAGTTTCTTGGTGCTGCTCACTTTGAACGCGGGCCTCGCTTGGGTGAAAGCCAATTAACACGCTGTGAAAACAACTGAACCCCACAAACACACACAAGCGCACACACACACTCACACACACACACACACACACACACACACACACACACATCAACAAAGCAACTCCAGCCTGCACTAAATAGCTGTTTTTCTGCTCAAGCTGCAACCAGACAGAGACAGAGAGGAGCAAATGCTGCAGAGTGCTCCAGTTAGAAAACCAATCCCGTTTTGAGATAATAGTTTTGGGGAGCAGCAGAGGAGGAGAGGAGGAAACCCTCTCTCCCTCTCTCTCTCTCTCCCTCCCTCTCTCTCTCCACCGTCCCGTTACTTTACCTTGTTGAAGGCGAACAGCTCCTGTTTAATCTTCTCTCTCTGCGGGTCGGTACCCTGCCGACGGAACCGAAACTTCATCATCTTGAAGCCGGAACTGCAAACACGGAGGTAACAAACCCGGTGTTCAGGAGAGGCGGTGCTAAGCTAACCGACTAGCCCCATGCAGCAGGCTGAAAGCGGGGCTGCTGCTGCTGCTGCTGCTGCTGCGGCTCTCTCTCCTCCCTCCTCTCTCTCTCTTTGACCACAGCCCCCTCCTCTTCCCGGTTCACACGGACCCCGTTGTTGTTAACCAATGAGGGTGAAGAAATCTGCGAGCAATTTACTCAAAAACCGCCCACAGAGACAGGAGCTGCGGAGAGGGAGTGCTCGGTTTGTAGCACGGAGCGCACCGGATAAACGTTCCATTTACAACTGTCAATATGATGCGTTAAACGGGGAGAGCGTTACGTAAAATGAAGCTAACACACAGTAAAAGGCTAGTTTCAGTTAGAAGAGACAAGTTCTGTTTACCCAATTATATTTTACGACTTTATCAAAAGGATTATTTATGGTTTATATAATACAATACAATACAGCTTTATTTATGAAAAGCTCTTTAAAACCTCCAGACCTGTGCAGAGAAATACAAAAATAATAAAATCACACAGCTCAGCTCACAAACCATAACATTTGTAAAACTACAAATAAAGTGGAGAAAACTGAAATAAAGAAGAATACAAATCGTTAAAGTCATATAGTAAAAACAATAAACTATTTGAAATCAATTATAGCAACTAATTCGAATTTTTGGGTTAACAATAATCGTATTATTGATAGATTTTATATATAAAAATCGAATTATATGAAAGAAAAGTTGTGTGTGTTTCATAAAGAGTTTTCTTCCTTTATAACAGCCCTCAAGTTAATACAAAAATATAAAAATGCAACACAATTATTGTTCTGTTTCACACAACACATTGTTTATGCTACAAACTTTAATGTACAACATTATTCATATGCATTGAATTTGCATCGTTATGTACAACAGCTATTTACAAGACATATATACATTGTATAAATAATCTAATTAAATAGTGCAAAGAATTCAGCGATGTGGCTTTTAACTGTGTGCCAAAATATGTCTTTCTCTTGATTTCATGAGAGGGAAGAAAGTTTTATGTGGGGCTGCCTTCTCTTGCTTGCCATTTAGAATGCATCATTATAAAAAATAAAATATCTTCTTGATGAATAAATAGGAAAGGTTATATTTAGGTTTGCTACACACTTCAGTTTCTTTGTAGAAAGCCAACCCACCCTTTATGCTAATCTCCTTTAAAGCAGCCATGGCAGACAACATTTTAAACAGTTTTGGCTAAAAGTGTCGAACTAAAAACATTCTTGATTTCGGTCTGAAAGGATATTAATTCTTTATCACATGGATGCATGAAACTCAGTTGTATTTGTGTTTAATGTACAGGTCTGTCTGTACATACACTGGACATATATTTTATAATTTATGTAATTGCTGTGGGTGTGATCATTTAAATCTTATTTCAAAGCAAAATACCCCAAATTCCCTTGATTCAGCTTCTCAAATAAGAATATTTAAAAAGCCATTTGAACATACAAAGTTTGGCTTTGGGAAATTCAGATTTTGAATGATTTGATTTTCTTTGATATTGTATAGATTAATGTAGATGAAAATCTTTGGTTGAAGCATCGACGCCATTCGTTAATCTCACGACAGAAACATTACGTCATCATAACAAAATATTATTATTTTTAAAATAGAGGTAGATTGAGGTGGGATTTCTATAAGATTGTGTGTGTGTGTGTGTGTGTGTGTGTGTGTGTGTGTGTGTGTGTGTGTGTGTGTGTGTGTGTGTGTGTGTGTGTGTGTGTGTGTGTGTGTGTGTGTGTGTGTGTGTGTGTGCGTGCGTGCGTGTGTGTGTGTGTTACAGCAAGGTGATTTCACTTGGTGGCAAAGTGAGTCTCTTTTCTCTGACTGATAACATGTTCTCCATGTGCATGGCGATGACTCGGCACAGCTCCAAGCCCTGAAAACACACACACACACACACACACACACACACACACACACACACACACACACACACACACACACACACACACACACACACACACACACAGAAAAAAAGTATTTAAGGTGAGTGAAATGCTTCAAAATCATTGCATATACAAATTAGAACAGCAGCTCTTTTTATCGACTCCCTCTGTTTGTGTCTGTGTCTCACAAATATATATTTGGTCACACACACACATACACACACGTACACACACCTGCTCCAGCTGCAGTTGTGTGATTCGCTGGTTGAGCAGGTCTCCTATCATGATCTCCACGTACGGATAGCTGGAGCCTGAAGTTGGTCTCTGAGTGCGAGTGGACTGGACTTCCTTCAGAGGGAAACGCACCATGGCCTCCTAATTACATACATACAGATAAATAAAACCAAATAAATGTTAGAGTACACACACTAACAGTTAATAAACTTTAACACACATAAAGAGACAGCTATGCACGGGTATTTAAAGTCAAAACACATAGAATACAAGATTTACTATAATAAGCAGAAGTGAACACAATAACCAACAGGGGGAGCCAAGGCTTTGTTTTAAAGGGTTATGGTTTAAATTGTGTAAATAATACGATGTCGAAAAAGGGCTTCTGTCTGCTTCAAATTCCTTCCGTGACACACACTCCGCTGCCAGCATATTTTTCCAGCTGTTCCTGGAATGTGAAGCATGCAACATTACACAAGCTGGATCCTTGTGTTTGAGTGGATGTTTAAAGTGTGATGGTGACATACATGAGTGTCCTTGTTGAGAAAGTGCAGTCCGTTCAGATTTACGGCCAGGATGCACGGCGCGCTGATGGAGGCGGAGCTACAGCTCTGGATGTAGAAGAAGGAGGAGCCGAACATGGGGAAGGCACTCACCAGACCTGGGCAGAAAAAAGAACAGGGTATTATTTTTAATATGGAAGCATCTTATCTTGTCTTTTTGTCTGTCAGATGTTTCTAAATCAGATCTTCTGACTCAGATTTGATTAGTTGTGTGGAATTGATGAACAATCAAAATCAGATATATAACATAAGTGTCCATGGAACACACTTTCCAAGATATACAAAAGCACATAGCGGTGGTCTTACCGAGGAACTGTGCTCGAGCCTGGTTTGGGTTTAAGGGCTGCACCTGCTGCATGTGCTGAGTCGTCATGTTCAGCCAGTGCTGGGAGCCCTGTTTGCTGTAGAACTGTGGAGGGACACACTCCTGCACGTCACGCCTTAAAACACACACACAAACACACACCAGTCATAACTCAGAGGCAGTGGTAAAGATTGTATTTAAAACATTTGTGTTAGTGTTAGCGTAAATAGGTTCAGGATCGTCAAACTGAATGGAAACCTCACTGCACTGATAGTGAAGGGGGGAAAATAATTGTGTGTGTGTCTTTCGTGTATTTACAAGGTGGGCAGGTAGACAGTGTCCTTGGCACGGTGCTGGAGAGCAGCCAGTCTGGCGATCTGCTGCATATGCTGGTCGCTCGCCTTCGCCTGAGGAACCACGCTCAGCAACGCCTTCAAATAGTCTGGCAACACCTTGGAGAAAGTTACACAGAGAGTTACATTTTGTAAGTATTCATTTTTCTGTAGGCTTCTGCTTGTTTTGAAATCCTGATACAGCTTCCTTGTCGGACTGAACTGGTTTAAGTGAGTCTGCTGTCACACAAATTGGAAAGCTACAAATGATGTTAGCTGATTGTAAGGCAATCCACACAGAGATGAGGCTCTTGTAATTCCCATGGTTTATTGGGAGAACATGGGGAAGAAATGAGATAATGGCGACAATAGGCGTAATATCTACTATATCGCAATGTGATACTGTGAATCATTGTTAAACCATAGAAGAAAGTGAGCCAAACGGCATATTAGGGATATTTTAGTTAACAAAAGAAAAGTTTAATAAATCACGGAGCAGAGGCAGGTGGGTGATATTATGAGAAGATAGTAGATAAGTAGATAAAATGCAGGAATAAGGGGTCATCTTTAAAGGAAATATACCTTTTTGCTTCTCTTTGAAAGGTTTGATCAACCATGTCACAACACATACTTGCTGTGTATTGCTTTTTCTCTTAAACTTACAAATATAATCTCAGTAAATATCAAAATGTGTTGTTGTTAATGTAACCCTAATACACCCTTGTACAGCACCATGTAACCTCTCATACAGTGGACCTCTACCTGGTTATAGTGCATGGTGACGTAGAGTTCGTTGTCCAGTTTGAGAGCCATGCTCCATATCACTCTCCTGAACCACAGACTGTAGCTGGCGTCCACCGGCTCGGCCTCTGTGGCGATGTCCAGGATGTACTCACGCTTGTTCAGAGGGCGCACATTCTGACCTACAGACACAAGTTATTATCCCTTTGTCTATAGTGCAATCCTTTAAATAGCGATGGTTTGCATTGGAGGCCTTATTGCATTCAGACCATTGTTACCTTTGTGTGTGACCAAAAAGACGGCGTATTCATCCAGAGCCTCCACCCTGTGCAGTCCCATCTCATAGCAAAGCTCCTCGATGACATCCAAAGCAACCTGAAGTAACAAAATAATTCAGTTATGCAGTTGTCATGTTGACGCACAAATTCAGCATCTTGGTTTTTGTTATGTTACTGTCAGGCCCAAAAAGGTTACACAGTAGCACAGTACTTTTCTTCACAATGGGTGAAATGCAATATCAATAAATATGTGTGTGTGTGTGTGTGTGTGTGTGTGTGTGTGTGTGTGTGTGTGTGTGTGTGTGTGTGTGTGTGTGTGTGTGTGTGTGTGTGTGTGTGTGTGTGTGTGTGTATGCCACTCACAGAACACGTCTTGATTTTCACGTGTCTTTCTATCCCGCCTGGCAGGAGGAACAGCTGTCTCTTGGAGCTCCGCCCAGCCTGCACACAAACAACCAATCAGAGAGGAGAACAAAACTTGAGTTCGGTACCCTTTTAACTTGTTTCAAGCCACATATAAATTAAGTACAGTAAGAAGACTGCATAGCTGAATTAGAGACTAACCAGCATAGCTTTGAGTTCCATGCTGTTGGGATACTGTATACGTCCGCCATATTGAAAGGTCCTCCTCAGATTCTGCTCACATGCCTTGGCAATACCTGGGTCAAAAAAAGGTAACAGATTGATGGATAACCAAGGATATACTTTCAGAACGGTAGTGATGGATTTATGATTTGTTTGATGTATAAGTGGATTATCTACCTTGATACTGCATCCCTGGACTCTCACAGGCGTCCTGAAGGAACTTCAACATAAAGGGCTTCATGACGTCAGAGCAGCGATAGAAAGCTGTCAGGATGTACAGCAGCCGCCATCCTCTCTGACAACTGTCCCTGCACAACATACACACACCACTACAAATTGAAGCACTACTGTGATCAAGCCATCAGGCCGCACGTGATGTCAAATGAAGAAAAAGTATTTTACGGTTTGGAGCTGGTGTTGGCGGTCACTTGCTTCATCACCTGGCAGTAAGACTCATCCTTTATCAGGCCATGGTCAGCACTTAACTGGATATATGAGCACATTCACGAAGACAATTATGTTGATCTTTAATTTCACTTAAACGCATCACATGTAAGTCAAAGTATTTATGTCGTTAATATTTTCTAAGCCATTCAACGTCAGAGTGTGTGTGTGTGTGTGTGTGTGTGTGTGTGTGTGTGTGTGTGTGTGTGTGTGTGTGTGTGTGTGTGTGTGTGGGTGTGTGTGTGTGTGTGTGTGTGTGTGTTTTGGTGTGTGTACCTTCAGTACGGAGGTGACCAGGTCCTGTTCAGTCTGACCCTTCAGGGGGAAGTCTCCCATGAACTTCATTATAGCTGGACAAGTCAATCAACATGGAAATTAAATATTTTAGGAAACAGAAGTAATGTTGTATTTCTTTTTTCTTGTCCCTCTGTCCGTTTCAATTGGACCTGAAGACCTTTCATTTCCCTCTATGACAGCAAACTATTAATATCTACCTTCTACTTCCTATATACATTATTTATGTGTCCTCTCACCTACGAAGATGTCCACAGCCACTCTGTTCATCCCACTGTCGGAGAAGTCAATCAGAGACTCCTGGATTGGAGACTGCAGAGACAAACACAAGGCAAGGAACAAAACAACACAATATTGTTGAAAAGATAGAATATGAGAGAATACAATCATATATTTGAATGATTGTGCTTTGAAGCAAACTCAGCTGCTTTACCTTGGAGAATTTGACCATGTCATGAGGATCCCTGCCCTCCTTCCCCTTTTTGGCTTTCTGTTCACTGTGGGCAAAATATATTCAGCCGTTATGATCTGTATGTGTTTTCATATCCGTTTGAATTGTCTCAGGGAGAACAAACTTTAGTCGTAAATTGAAGACACATTTGTTGCATTATTTTGTCACTGTTTTGGATTATTTAACAGTTATGCATTTATTGTATTGTTGAGTTAATTGATCTTATTTTAGTTGGAAAAGGAATATGATTTGTTATCAAGGCAAGAGAGGAGGTAGAAGCCAATGTTCAACATCAAAACCTAAGAAAATAAACTGAAAAAGTCTAGGTGGCAGTTTCATTTTGAGTTTGTTTTTGGTTTGAGAGAAAACAGCCGCTCCAGTGTGTGTCTGACCTCTTGTTCTTCTGCGCCTCTCTGAAGTACTTCTTGGCAAACTCAGCCATCTGGTACTGGCCGCCGTGCAGAGGCAGATCGTCCAGCTCCGCGCTCATACCGTCCCCATACATCTCATTTACTACCTGATACACACACACACACACACACACACACACACACACACACACACACACACACACACACACAGAAATATAAAGCTAAGCATTGCAATAGCGTTTAAAGGAACACTAAACATGTCATTATATAGAAAATATCTCCATTTCTGCTAAACAAAGCATTTCAACATATACTGTCCAAACAGCAGCTGGCATCGCAATATACTATATAGGGGTTTTGTTCATGCTGAAATCGGAGACTCATTCCCACTCCAAACCTGTAATTCGTACTTATTAACTCTTAAATGGGCAATCACGTTAAATGTTATACGTTATGTTAAATGTATCAATTGGTATTCTCTACCTTACACTGTTATCACACCCATATTTTCTTGGTGTGGCATGATTTAGAAGAATATTCCTGTAATGTGAGTAAAACAACTTCCTGGTCTGCACCTCAGTGGAGAGGTCGAGCTCATGGGCAGCCACCGCTGAGCCCATCGCTACGGCGATAGCAGCAGACGCAGCGACCCGTCCCTGTCGGTCCCGAGGCTCGACGCGCTCAGCGGGGAGAACCAGGAAGTCCGGAGCCGCTACAGGACGGACGTAGTCGCTGGGAAACACTCCAGACTTTCCGTACACAGCACCGAACCGCCAGCCTGTATTACACACACACGCACGCACGCACGCACGCACGCACGCACGCACGCACGCACGCACGCACGCACGCACGCACGCACACACACACACACACACACACACACACGCCATAAAATATTCAGAGAGGTTTATATGAAACACATGAAGTGTTAGAAGTGAATGAATGATCTGTCACATCCAAAACACAGTTACAACCAAAGGTGATTCATTTTATTCTTCAGATGTTCTGTTGTGTCCAGCCAACTGAACAAAACCCCCAACATAATCTCTTTTTTAGCCTAAATGATGGTAGCAAATCCTCAATCCACAAATAAATCTACATAATCAAAATCACAGAAGTTATCAATGCAATGTGTAAGATAAAGCCAGAATTTTAGATAGAGCATTTTAACTATGAAAAAGTATTGTGCATCAACTGAAAACACATGACATTGAGTGGCTGTTGATGTAGTATTGTTAGATGTGCCAAGAGCAAGGACTGTCTTAGGTAAGACAGCTTTTATGTGCGCAGCTCCACTTGCTTGGAACAATCAAGAATTGAAACTGAGCAATCTCATTCCTCTGCATGTTTTTAAAGCTAGGCTAAATGAAATGCTCGTTGATACTATGGGTACTTGTAAATGTCTATAACTATGTAAATGTATCCTGTAAATATAATGTATGGTGTCCTTTATTGTTTTATGTTTCATGTGGAACCTATATGCTGCAGGTCTCCCTTGAAAAAGAGATCTATGATCTCAATGGGACCAATCTGGTTAAATAAAGGTTTGAAATGAAATGAAATGTTGCCCTCAGCGGCAGAAACAAGAACATTATTATATTTTTGTTTCATCTTCCCGCAGCAAGGAGAAAACCTTTCCAGGAGGACGGCTTGAGGTAACTCCAGAAAACATGCTTCAGTGAGAGGCTGTAGCAACTCAAATGCAGCCAGTGCTAACCCAAGGCTTATCCCGGGCTTTGACTGCCCACACGATTAGTACACTTTGTGTTGCTAATGTTATGCAGGTTTGACCCAGAACTGCAGATATTTTCTTGTTTCTGTTCATTTGAATTTAGTTCAGTAAACATTCCCTGTATAATTAACCCCCCATTAAGAAGTACAGTAAACACACAGATTGCTAAAGTTAATTAAAGGCAAGCACTATG